ATCAAGCCTCACAGAGCACACTGATTTTTTTCTCTTCAAATGCTCAAAATAACTTAACACCTGCTCAGCAAGGTTGGGGTTTTTCTATAAATGTTAATGTATGCTATGTTGGACTCCCTCCCTCCCTCCCTCTAAAATACTCAACTGTCTTTATAACAGTAAAAAAGGGAAAGGTTTTGGAATGAATAAAACGTTGCTACAAAATGAGCACACACGCAGAAGGAGTTACCAGACTGAAAAGGCAGAAGAATTATGTCACTTGAGTGTTAAAATACAGAGCAAGAGGAGGAAAATATGAGACAAAAGGCTGGAGACTGAGGGAAAATAGTGAAAAAGACTCATACAATGTATTTGGCATTGAACTAAACTGCATAGGGATTTTTTTTAAAAAAAAAACAAGCTAATTTTAAATTGAAAAATAAAAATGTTGGGTCCTCAGGTTCAGCCTGGAGCAATGTTAAGGATAAGAAGGTTATGTGTTTCAAAATGTAGTAGACTGCTAGTTCAGACTTAGTTATTCAAATGGTTGTTGAAAAAAACCAAACAAACAGAGAGAGGGTGGGGGAAGTTGCATACATATTGATTTATTTGTTATGCAAGGGCCCCCTAATCTATTTGCTCCATACTTGTGCTGACAGACAGGAGCTCACCATGCTCACCGGATTCAAACTGCTGACCTTTGGGTCAGCAGTCCTGCCGGCACAAAGGCTCCACAAAAACATGTGAGTGCCTTAAACTCATCTGTAAATTTTCAGAGGTATCCACAACTATTAATCAAAGTGAGGATCATCAGGAGAATTTGGCAATTGCAGGCTATACAAAACCCACAAAAAGCTTGGGAAACTGAATTCTTCACACACCACTAACCCCTCCTTTTGCTTCCCCAGACAACCATCAGTTGTCATAAGAAAAGGAGCATCCCCTAGATTTGAATATGCAACATTTTAAAAAAAATGAAATGGGTTTGGTATTCTCTTCATATTCATATTGTCTTATTTAAAGAGCTGTTTCTGGTTTGCTTTTTTGCTCAATACAGAATGGCATCTATTTCTCAAACTTACCTCTGTGTAGTGCAGATTTCCAGCCTGTTTGATGTACACCTGCTGTGCATTTGACCTTCGGAGTGGTCTCTGCTCCCTACTATAGACACACACACACCTCATATCTCTCTGTACTGAAGGCAGAGCTGGATGTTTAATCTGTTGGAAATTCTTGGTGTTTAAAAGCTTAAATGTGTCTTAGAGATAGCATCAGTGAAAAGGTTGAGTGTTTCAATGATCTAAAGCTCTCTCATGCCTTATCCATCTAACCTCTCTTAGACTGATATTTTTAGTGCTCACTCCACCTCTTCTTTCCACCTCCTTTTTTTACTTTCAGTGCTCCAAAAGTACAGCATGACCCCCCCCCCCCCAATATATATATGGGATCAACATCCATGGTTTGATTCATATGCATCTGACAAAATATGTCATACTTTGGCATTTTCTAGGCTCCTCGGCATGACTATGGCATTCTTGGGCCAGAAGTCCTTCGTTTCAATAGGGTTCACTATTATCTTTGGTTTCACATATCCACACAAAGTCAAGGAACATATTCCCATGAACATATTGTCAAACTAACTTTGTCCTTTTCCTGTAATAGCATAGCTTAGGCTAGATCTATACCCCCAGATAATGCAGTTTCAGAATGCAGATTTCATCCAGTTCAATGCAGTTAATCGGCATTCAGAAACTGCATTATATGGCAGTTTAGATTCTTTAGAAAGCTTTTCTGTCTCTTATGAGATTCTTATAAGAAAAATGTAGTTTATCTTTCATGTGATGCTAATTCTCCTTCATCATAGTAGCTATCATGCTAGAAGTATGCATGAGTGATGCTTGATGCAGTTAACTTGACCCCATGTCTTGCCTTTTGAATAGAAATTGTTCATCATGCTGTCATTCTCCTGGCTTGAGTTAAAGCAGGAATGCCCTCACTCTCATATGAGCAGGTCTGTTCATTCCTTACAATTTGGTGTATGTGTTTGTAAAAATACAGGATATGTATCTCTGAACTGTTATTTTCCCAACTTATTGACTGAACATGCACATTTTCTAGCCCTTTTCAAATAGTGTGATATTTTTGTCTATTGAGGTCAAACCAGTTTAATTCCTTTTTAAAACAATTTGCTCCACTAGCAAAAACCAGACACATAGGACAGGCATCAAGATGGTCAAAAATCTGGAAACCAAGACTTATGAGGAATGATTTAAGAAACTGTAGATATTTAGTCTAGAGAAGACTAAGTGGTGATATGGTAGCTATTCTAAAATATTGGAATGGATGCTACGTAGAAAACGGAGCAAACTTGCTTGCTGCTGCTCCAGAGACCAGAATACCAATTGATTCAAATTATAGGAAAAGAGATTCCACATAAAGATTAGGAAGTTGTTGTTGTTGTTCACCATAAAAGCAGTTTAACAATGGACTAGACTGTCTTGAAGCATAGTGGACTCTCCATCTTTGGAAGTCGAAAAACAAAACATGCCTATAAAATGTATATTGTATATTTCTGCATGGTAGGGAGTGGCACCAAATTTCCCCTGTGGCCTCTTCAAATTTTAAAATTCTGTGGTTCTATGAATAAAGGAGAGTGGGACTGGGTGAAGGAATGGCAATTGGGTCAGCAGTAGATGTGAAGGATTGCCATGCTTGAGCCAGGAGATATGCATTGAGTCATGATCATATATCCATTTGTAATGTGCCTCATTTCTATAATACTAGAATGATGGATCAGAACTTTAGGCTCCTATATCCACTGGTTTCATAGCAATTACAAGTGGAGGTTGGGGGAGGAGTTGAATTATATGAATAAATATAATAATTGATGCTGTTTTGTCTAACTAATGTATATATGAGGAGCCTTTCAGATGTTTTTGGCCTGGAAGTCCAGCAAAAATAGCCGAATTGTAAAGAATTTTGAGTTTATAGTACAACATCTAGAAGAAAATTAATCCAGTCATTAAGCCAATGACTGAAAATGAATTTGCATTATTATTATATGGTGAATCAGGCACATCAGACAGCAACTAAAGTGTGTGTCCTACCGTGTTTTCCCCTGGGGCATCCAAAAATGCCTCAGGTAAAAACGAATTACTTCAGCATAAAGCAAGGAAAACCTTGCTTTGTGCCGAAGTAATTTGGCAGCTGGAAATACCCGGGCATTTCAGAAGATCTGGATCTTTCCAGCTGTGGGCACTGTGTAGATGAGAACCGGGGATCGAGCCATGCGACTTCCAGTTTCCATCCACACAGCTGTCTGGAGTGTCTTGGGCTGCTGGAGCCCAACAAACCCAAGACAGCCCCACCCTCTCCCCAAAACCCCCAGGAAAGTCTCTAAAAGAACATAACTTACCTGGCCTCCATTTCCCCTTCTCCTGAGCTCTCCTGGTGCATAGAAATGATACACCAGGAGAAGGGGAGAGGAGGAAAACCACTCCTGGGCTCCCCTTCTCCTGGCGCCTCATCTCTAAACACTAGGACAGCTTCAGAAAAGGGGGAATGGCAGCTGGGTAAGTTATTTTCTTTTTTAAAGTCTTTTCTGTGGAGGTTTGTTTTGTGTCTGGGTGCTCTGAGCATCTGGATGCCAGCCCTCCAGGAAAGCACAGGTGTTGAAGGGAGGTGTCTGCACTTCAACCTGGGTGCAATTGAACTCAAGAAAGTCCTATGTGGAACTACCCCCAGAATCATACCTGATTTATCAACCTATGAACTTCTACGTATTGTTGAATTCCAACTCCTCTTAGTCCCAGCCAGTATAGCCAGGGGTGATGGATAAGGATAGTTAAGGACCATTGATATATGTGGACGAAGACAAAAGTTGTCTACATTTGGTTGTGGATTTCTCTTTCTCTTTTTGTTCCCGTAATGATTACTTCCTTTGCTTTCTCCAATATCTGAGGGAAATAGAAAACAAGTCCTGCAAATGGCACTAACACAAATCCTTCCCAAACATCCTGAACCATGACAGATGTCCCTATATAAATGGGAATTGCAGATAATAATTTTTGTACTGTTTTTCTTCTCTGACTCTTTTAAAATTCTTCCCTCAAATGCATGCCTAAGAAAATTCCTGGGAGAAAAGATGTGTTTTTCTTTGATCAAGTATATTTTAATTCTTACGATTCCTTCTCTAAAAAGCCATCTGTTATCTGTAAGGCATCAGTCTTTTTCATCCAAGTTGTTTCCTCCGAATAAAATTACAAATTCTGCTTTTACTGCTTGGCCATCATTTGGTTAACAGTAAGAGAAAATAGAAGTCGCCCACCCCAGACTTATTCAGTGTGCTTACTGTTGAGACATGATTCTTTCCTTACACAGAAATGGTGTTACCATCAGCAGTGCTGTAATGGCAAATATGAACCTCGGGCACTCAACAGGACAGTTTGTTTGGCAACACACCCCACACAGATTGCAAAGGTGTGGGTAGTTGTGTTGTTCCAAAACATTTTCTAGAAGTTTTCATTGCTGCTAGGAACAGATCTAAATCCATCCAAAAATACTTTGGATTTCTACACTATCAGCTCACAATAATATATTATTGCTAGAAAAATCTATTTCCACTCGAATTGTTATGACAATTGTAGCTAAATTGCAATGGTTCAAAGGAGTCCAAAGGGGATGGCAGATGATGTCATAGTCCCTGCTACTGAAAAAGTTTTGGGCATCAACACAAGTCCTTGTTCCTGGTTGTCAATTGTATGGTAATGCCAGAACTCACAATGCTGAATTTCCTCAGTTCTCACTCTCTCTTTTTATCAGCAAAGATAATAACAAGTTGACTGCAGGGATCCCATGAATCATATTAGTTAGCTTTTGAGCCGATGACTTTGCTGTAGCTGTACCTACTTCACAGGATTTTGTGAAGATTAAAGAGATCAGATGAAGATACTAGCTATGCACCCTATATTTAGTTCCTTCATAGAAAGTCAGGATACAAATATAATCAAGAAGCAGCAACATTTTGCAAATAAGAAGCATGCTTCACTTTAATACAGTACTGTCAATGTTCATGTTACTGCCATCATTGCAACAAGAGACAATGTGTGCATATAGGCATACACTAAAACCACACCAATTGCAAATATTTACAAGCTATTTACAAGATATGTATCATGGAGCCAATTTAACCACCCATGGTGTAGTTACCCATACAAAAAGACTAGCAGTCAATTGCAACCCTGGAGACACAGCAATACCAAACAATGCACAGCAGGACAGAAGCAAAACGGTGTGTATTCCCCAGGCAATTCACAGTGGGGAGTCATAACATGATTCAAATTGCAGTTCAGCAAACAACAATGAGGATAGTAGTCATGCTGATCTTGAACGCTGTCAGGGAACATCTTTAGTTTTGCTGTTGAGCTATTTAAGCCATGGTTTGTGGTATATCCCACGTTGTCATCTGGGTAAGTACTTGTGAGTTGCGCTGTATTATCCATATAGTTCATTAAGGTAGTTGCTACATGTCATAATTATATGCACCCCAGATTGATGGCACAAATTTGGATAGTTTCTCATTTTCACAACAAAGTCCACTAGGAATGGCCATAGCTCAGAGGAAGAGCCCACACTTTGCATTCAGAAGGGTCCATTTTGAATACTGGTGGTATCTCCAGCTAACATAATTATCTAGTAGAAGAACAAGGGGAGAGCTCTACCCAAAGGGCTTGCAAACTGACTGGAATATTCTTGAAGACATGGCCCAAAAATAACACTTTCAGTGTGTGCTGAAGAAATTATCAGTTGAAGCAGATATGGGGTGGAAAGAATATTCTTAACTATTTGTCCCAAAGGAGGAGAACTATTTACTCAACTGCGAGGAAGAATAATATGTGAGAATTTTTCATAATTTCTCCTGATATTCAAATATCCTGAAAAGAATGCAAGTTTTTCTGTGCAGAAAACAGTTTCAGGTGCAGGAAAACTGAACAGAAAAAGAAACTTCTGATACATCTATTCCCAGCCCATAAGGGATGAACCTCTTGAAAACTGGGTTTGCTTGCCTCACTTGATCTAGATAAGCAGTAAAAAGATTGACCTTTTAGTAGAATCTATTATATCCCAGTTCTAAATTATGGTGGGAACCTAAGGTCCCTTCTATAGTGCTATATATCCCAGGATCTGATCCCAGATTATCTGATTTAAAATAGATTATATGAGTCTCCACTGCCAGAAAATTTGGGTTAAGAAGATTATCTGGAATCCAATCCTGGGATATAGGGGCACTGTGAAAGAGTCCTAAGTCTACAAACCTGACCTTTCCAGTAACATTTAGGCCCTTGCCCCCATCTCCTAGCATGGGGAACAGTGATGCCCAGCCAACAAGAATGTAATGGAGGTGGTGGAGCCAAGCAAGAGCTGCCATATTCTCTACCCCTCGTGATCGTAATGACGTAAGGGGTGAACACTTAATGGGAGTTATTTATGTGGCTGAGAGGAAATTCAATTGTTGGTAGGTTGCATGCACCTACAGGGATGTTTCATGGCTCCAGAGGATAAGGGAAGGAGGAACCAGAAAAAGAAAGAAGGAAAGAGGAGTCATTGTCCAATTTTCCTTGAGGCACTGGGAAAATGTTGTCATTTGTTCCCTCTTAGATACTTTAAATCTAGAAGAGATCTTTAAAAAATTAGGGTCATTTCCTGCTGAAAAAAAATGTTTCTTCTAAGGCTAAAACGAGGCAAAACTGTGGCATGTTTAGAGGATGTTCAAGGGCAAAATTTGATATTTTTCTGGTGGTTATGGCCTTCCAAGATCTGCTATATTGCTCTTTAACTCCCAGCAGTTGCCAATCCCCTACTAAAACATGAAACAACATCTTAGCCACCACTGAAGCTAATTTAATGTTAAAGAAATCCAAAATCAAATATTGGATCCAGATGGCCAGAGGGTAACATTAGAAATACAGCATGTTCTCCATTTATTTCTGAAACTGCCATATGACCTGTTTATTTCAAAGATTTACTTTTCCTTCCCACTGATGGATAACCATTGAGATCTTCTTGTTCTGTAATGTCATGCTCTGAGCTGTCATGGGAATAGTCTTTCATGGTACTATAAAAGACCGGGGCATTGAACTGAGTGGTACTTTCAGTTCTCTTCCTTTCACATTTACATAGCTTTTTGAAGGCAGCTCTAAATTTTTGAGACATCACATTGTAAATGATGGGATTAATGGCACTGTTCAGGTAGATGCAGAGCCTGCAGAAGAGAACGAACCAAATGTTCAGGTAAGGAGGGTCCATGAAGGAGTTGACCACCACCAAGGTGCGGTACGGCATCCACAAAAGGGCAAAGAGGATCACCACCACAGCCAGCATCTTTGTCACCTTGAAGATTGTAAACAGAGAAACAAAACAATTAATTTTATATTTCCTTCAACTGTTTGAAGATACATTAAATAGGCAAAGGTAAAGAGAGAAATTTCCTAAATTAACAGTTAGAAGTTGTTTGAATGTTGGGCTATGACCCTGGGAAACCAGGGTTCAATTCTGTACTCAGCCATGGAAACCCAATGAATGACCTCCTTTGGCAAGGCATGCTCTTTCAATCTAAAAAAAAAAAAGACAAATTGAACAAATTATGTCACAAAAACCCTGTGAAATGTTTGCTTTAGAGTTTCCAGAAGTCAGAAATGACTTGAAGGCACACAACAACAATAAATAACACACCAAGCAGAATCACATGACAGAAAATTTAAGTACCCGTTATTTTTCTTTTGGGAATGCACAAACCAACGCTAATCATTCCAAATTGGGTGAGAAGTTCTAGTCTCCACCAACCAATTGCCCTAAAATGTATTCTCCTCTCCTCTCCTGGGTCACCACAAGTCAGAAATGATTTGAAGGCATAGAAAAACAACAACTAAGGTAGAGGAAAAAAAGCAATGAATACAGAGGATGTTTTCCCACCAGTGTTATAGAATAGAGGTTATCGTCTGCCAATTGTCTGAATTGCTCCTACAGAATCTGGGGAAATGTAGTTCATGGCGGAACCTTTGACATGCTTTCTGCTTCTCTGAAATATATTTCCCAGCAGATTGGACTATTGGTCTCCATTCTATAACTCTGGTGGGAAAACACCCGGAGAGCACTACAGAAAGTTACTCTCAACAGAATTAGACTATTTGTCTTTATAATTTAGTACACACACCATATGATTTTATAGAGATCAATAATCTAGCTGAAATTTGAGATAAATTTCTATATTACATCTTCAACTCCTGAAGACACTAGATCCTGTTTAACCTTGGAAGTTAAGCAGCATCAGCTATGGTAGTATTTGAAAAGTAGACTTTCAGGAATTATCATGTGTTGTAGGTTTGATTCAAAGGAAAGCAATGGGAAACCATCTCTGAATACTCCTTGTCTAAAAAAACATATGAAATGTATGGGTTCAGCTGGAGGCAAAAGGTGACTTGGAGGTTTGTGCTATAAGGATCATTCACCATGGCCAGTGATGAGGAATGGGAGGACATTTGAAGTCCATATATCTGGAAAGCAATGGTTTATACACTGGGTGACAAGTGTCAGATCATTTGGGGGGGGGGGGTACTTGTTAAAAAGTAACATAAACACAGGCAGATTTAAATGCAACAGAGAAGGAAAAAAAAGGAAGCCATAATCTAAAACATGCTTGCTAATGATTAAGCACCATTGAGCTCAATGGGATTTAGTTCCAAGTGACTGTGTAAAGGAAGATTCAAAAAATCATATTATGTTTTTGTCTTATTGGATCTGTGTGTTAAGGCTGGAGGCAGATACATGAGTAGAATCCTTTAAGGGAAATATGGGAACTTAAGCTGTTTCATTTAAAAACCCTGGAATGAGAGATTGATCTTTCCTCAGATTTGTTCCATTAACTATCAAGGCATTGTGGCTTCCTGTATAACACATGGACAAGGCAATTTCTAATCACAGAGATTTATAGTTGCAACATGAGTTATAGTTAGGGAAGTGCATGTCAAAACTATGGAGATACAGAATATAATTTAAGACCATCAGTAGTATAGTAGGACATTTTGACAAAAGAACAAAAGCTTTTCAGTGGCAACACTAAGGCTTTAAATTGGTTCCATTGGCAATCTTGTCTTGCTCCCTCTTTATTTTTTGGCACTGGGTGAAATCTGTTTGCATTTAGAGAGTGTGCAGTGACTGCTGCAAGTTGTTTTCTCTTTCTGGAAACATATACTCTCAATTGATTTCTGCTACAAAGATTTTCCTTTGTTTTATTATTTGATAATGTTCGTCTTGTGGACTGCCTTGGGGATCTGTAACATGCCAATAAGTGGGACAGAGATATTCTTAATTAATTTTTTTAACTACCCAGAGCAACAACTACAAAGTTTGCCCAAGAGGTTAAAGTGATTTGTCTGATTTCATGCTGGCTGGAAGAACACGATGACTATCACTTTTTTCTAAATGCCAATTGTCAATTTTCTGCAGTGGGATTGTATCTCTCTTCTGATTAACTTTTCACTCAAGTTAATTGTGTTTCTTTTGTATCACGTAGTTGCAAGTTCTTTTTTTCATTCCTCCTAATTAAAGCATCCTGAGCATCACTAGGATGTGGAACAATGGCTTCAAAGTACAGAAAAGGAGATTCCACCTGAACATTAGGAAGAACTTCCTAACTGTGTGAGAAAGCTGTTCAGTAGTGGAACTCTCTGCCCTAGAGTGTGGTGGAGGCTCCTTCATCGGAGGCTTTTAAACAGAGGCTGGATGGACATCTGTTGAGGGTGCTTTGAATGTGATTTTCCTGCTTCTTGGCAGGGAGTTGGACTGGATGGCCCACGAGGTCTCTTCCAACTCTAGGACTCTAGGATTTCTATGATCTCAAAGACCTGTCATTACTGTCATCATTAGTAGCAACATCCACTCTGTCATTGGCAACTTTTAGGTAACTAGAAAACATCTTTATCAACAAATCATCCTATGTCTCTTTGGGTGTGTCTACACTGTTGAATTAATGCAGGTTGACACCTCTGTCTCCAACCACGAATTTATTGCATATTGATCAAGGACTTAACAATGTATATTTTTTACACCATAGTCATCCTGTTTCCATGCATTCTATATCCATAGATTCAACCCACCCCCTCCCCCCCAAAAAAGTCCAAAAGGCAAACCTTGATTTTGCAATTTTATATAAGAAACACAATTGTACTATGCCATATAAAGTAGGACTTGAGTGTCCATCAATTTTTGGTATCCATAGAGTGCTTTGGAACAAAATCCCACCATAAAGTATATGCCAAACACTGTGTTTTGTGAAACATATTTTATTTAAAAGTGAATTTTATGTGTCTTCACAGATGATGGGTGAGCCAAGAGAGCAGCCTTCTTATCTCTTTACTTTGTTTTTAGACAGTCTTAATTCAGACATAAGATCTTTCTTTCCTTCTAAGCTAGATTCTGGTAAATGCCTAAATAGGGGCCAATGATATGACCTGTGGCCACCAGTAAAGTAATTTCACTTGCAGTACCTTTGAAATATGCACACTTTGTTAGCCAACATTGATTAGTTAAAGCTTGTTGTCTTACTTGTAATTTTGTCTCCAAAGTTAGCTTCCAATTAATTCCCTTTTCTAATTATAATTGTATAACTATATTAGATTAAGATTGTAACTTAAGATGTAATATAATGTCATTCATTATATGATGGACAAGAAATCTCATATGGTTTCAATGCTGGCTCATTATTTATTATTATTTATTATTATTTATTATTATTTATTATTATTTATTATCATTATTTATTATTATTTATCATTATTTACCTACTTATGCTGCAGGGGTTGGAGCAACAAGAATGTGAACACTGAAGATGGGTGTTTCATACCAGAGGGTAATGCACTGTACAGCTGAGATTTTTAAAAGTAACTAGCAGATGGAAAAGTGGAAAATTACCTTTAAAATGACAACTAAAATTGTATGTTAATTACTTTTAAAAGGTAATTTCTCAAGCTTTGCCTCCTCCTGAAGCAAGAGTTCAGTGAAAAAAGATATTTTCAAGCTTTCCATTTTTAAAAAGACAAATTTGAAATAGTTTGTGCCCATCATTCATTCATTGCAATAGCTTCATGAAAATAAACATGGAGCCCCCAGTGTGCTCAATGGGTTAAACCCTTGTGCCAGCAGGACTGAAGACTGACATGTTGGAGGTTCGAATCTGAGGAGAGCACAGATGAACTTCCTCTATCAGTGTCAGCTCCGGCTCCCCATGTGGGGACATGAGAGAAGCCTCCCACAAGGAAGGTAAAACATCAAAACATCTGGGTGTCTCCTGGGCAAAGTCCTTGCAGACAGCTAATTCTCTCACTGAAAAGAAAACACATAGTGGATACTGGTCTTTTTAGGCCAATTCTCTCACACCAGAAGCAACTTGCAGTTTCCCAAGTTGCTCTTAAGACAAAAACAAATAACATGAAATAAACAGATTTTCTCTTATCATTTATCAACCTTCTTTTCGAGTACTTGCAACGTCTACATATTTTCCTTCTGAGTTGGAAACAATTTCCTACTTCATAATATCTGCAGGATAGAATTCCATTTTCATGACATGGATTTTTCTTTACCTCTATAAGAGTGCAAGAAACTTCAGTTATGTCAAATAGTCCTGGCATCAAATTATAGCAACAGAAAGAGGTAGCAATTCTATCGTGCCTTCAGGGCACACACTGACAATTGTTTGAGTGGATCCCCCAACTTTCGATATCTTCAAGTAATTCAAGTGCAGCTTTTTAGACACAAGCAGAGAAAAGTTTCCAAAAAGTTAAAAGGAACTCATAAGACTCAGCAGCTTCCCATGGTCTGCTGCCCTTGATGTGTGTGCTCTTCTTGTTTTTACTGGTGACAGGTCTCTGTATTTTTCCAAAATGACGGGAAAAATAATTGTTGTGGAACAATAAAAAGAACAGTCCCTTAAACAATTTTCAGTGCTTCAGAAATGAATGCCTGAGTTGTTCTTGACCATTTTTCAATTACGTGAAGGTAATGCAGACTAGGATGGGGAACAAGAGAAACAGTCTGTATCCTTTCCAACTATCTTTTTTTAAAAAAGCTGAGAAATTATTGCAGATCTCTGATGTTGGGCTCTCCTAAGCCGAAAATGGCCCAGGAAGGCCCAAAAATGTGGTGAGAATTTTCCCAACCTTTATAAAGACCACTTGGGACTACAAGATCACAGTCATGTCCAGATAAATTAAATTTATATCATGTTATTCAGACATCCTTCCTTGGACAAGCATCCCGAGCTCTGAGGATTACCTGGGAAGGAATCCCACTGGAGCATTGCAGCGCACCCAAATACCTGGGAGTCACCCTGGACC